ATATAACAGACTGAAAGGATAATAATAAATGACTTGACTAGGAATTGATATACGTTGCATATTATTTTATTTGTGCAGACTAATCAAAAGCACACTTAATATATTAATCGAAAATCGATATACAGCGTCGCACCAAAATAGTTCGAATTCCTAACATTGTCAAAACTGCATTTTCATAAACGGGCAAAATTACCAAAATGATGAAATAGGGAAATATGATGAGCGAGAAGGTAGGGTGCTATCCAATTAGCGATCGCGGATATTGATATAGCCTCCAAATCTTCAAAGGCACGACGACAAATTGGGCAGTTTTGATCAAGAATTGAAGTGAGTTGCCATTGATTAGGTCATCAAATCAATATTTGAGAAACGGCTGAATGCGTCTACGAAAAGTGATCTTCTAATGTGAATGTGATCTATGTTTGCTTTGAATGAATGGAGTCATGTCAGGAATTTTTTGATTGTTATAAGAGCAATCGGAACTTTGTTTGTAGACAGGGTATTTTGTTGACGTGTAGGTCAATAAATCAGTGAATTGGCACTTCGTGGGACAAAAAAGCATATTTCACTACTGCGTCACTGTCGAATAAAATCCCTAACTGGTAGATAGAAAGCAGTTTTGAGCTCTCTTTGTAGGAAATTATCATATGGATATCATTCTGTTGATCAGTGCAGTCCGTCACGTCGTTCACTGGATGCTGTTCATGTGTCAAATCTGTTTTGAAATTGGAATGGAGTTATTGCATAAAACACAATTCTTTGGTAACTTAACTGCCATTAAATTGTCCCAAATTTCCACATAAACACTATTTTGGAACTTTAAGCACTTTTTTGCTTAAATCTATAATCTATTTTCCAGGTTTAGGTTTTTACCTGAGAGTTACTTTTAAGATGGGGTATGTCGAGATTGAGATGGCTCTAAAAGTTTGTGCTACATTAGTAAGCTTTGATTTCATATTGACGACCCTCTCTCTGACAAGATCCGCTTGAATGATGTTGCTTCCGTAATTAACTAAGCTACGCCAAAAGCCTATCGAGAAAAGGGAATAACGTTATTGCAAAGTGTAACAAAGCTTAGTCATAAAATGCTAATGTTGCCATTGTACTCTGCGAGGACCACTGATTGCGCGCACACGCTTACTTTGATCAGCCATGGTCGTGTTGCTCGCTTCAAAAGATTTTGCTCTATAATGTGACATGATTGCTATGACGCCAAAGTTCCGGCCCTGTTAATATTTTTAGCAATTAATGTGTGAACATACAATCGGTCTTCAAGTAACGGTCATAGAAATGTTTAATCTTGGCAAACAGATATTTATGTTAAATGACAGGCTGTATGCAAGTTATCATTTGCCCTTTGGTTGACTTCGGGCTTTACAGATTGGAGGAACATCAAAGTCTCAAATGGCATGGTTGGGGGGGGGGGGGAACAGAAGAGCATCATTAGAGGGTAAAATGGCTAAACAATGGCCTTCAAATGCAGAAAAATACCTCTTCAATAATATTACATTTTCGTAGAACTCCAACCTATATTCCCAATAATGTGCCTTATTTTATATTGCATACCTTTCCAATTTGAGCAATGAAACAACCCTATCAATTGAAATACTATGTTCATTCTAAAAGGAGACATTTACTAGTTAAACCCAAAATTCTGTAAACGTCATACAACACGTTTGAACGCTAAAGAACGTGACATGCATAATTTAGAAAAGCTATGTAATCGCAATATTACAAATAAACCTGTGTGATGAAAGTTTAGCGAATAGCGAGAGTGACCAAACACGAGTTATAGGTCATTGTATGCTTTGTGGTAACAAAAAAGTCGATGGTCAATTGTTTGATGAGTTATCAGTTTGTAGAAGCCGAGACTAAAACTGGCCAACAGCACCCGCAATCAACTGGTCCAAAGAATTGAACTCGAAGATTTGTGTAGACCAACATGTATTTGGTAAACCACGATGAGCAATCGAGCAATTAACAGTAAGGGTGAAATTTTCAGCAGATGAACGAGAAACATGTATGTGTATGTGTGAAAATACCAAGGGCGTTTATGTAAGTCACTTTTCAAGATAGCGCATGGGACTAGTAATGGAGAAGTACTTTCAAGTAAAGCAGAATAGATGACCTCGTCTGGTGGAGACATAGGGTCATAAAGACGACACCGAAACCTCGTGGAGGAAAACACATGGTATTCTCATGGAGAATGGAAGTAAAATATATTTATGCAAAGGGCTCAGAGAGTCAATCTCCAATTTGAACAAGATTGCCAGTCCAGGCAAGTATACAAATACTACAATTTACGACTTTTACTGAGGAAAATGCCCAAACATAAATAACGAGTTTATCTAAAAAGTTTGAACTAAAGTTGCACCAACCAAATATACAATTGAACCAAATTTAGTGGTCAAAACGTTAAGTATTATCATAAGTAACAAAACATTCTCAGTATTTATATGAAGTTCTGCAAAGGCATAAATGAAGAGATACATCTATCAGCAATAATGTAAATTCTGAAATAGCTAGATTAACTGTATTGATTTTAAACTAAAGGAATCAAAATCAGTGCACGATTATCCGTAGAAAATGGTATAATGGCATTATCAATATAATTTAACGAAGCTAAAGTGTTCCGAATTACTTTTGTCCTCTACAAACCTAATATGGTCTTAGAATTCCTGTTAAAATTAATATTGATCCAAGGAATGCTAATCGAAGAGGCGTTTTCACGAAATTAAGAAGTAATTGAATACAATATTGTGGTAGAGAAGTTGAGCTTTTTGGCACTGTGGCAAGTTATATGAACACCGAGAGTTGAGAGAATGTGAGTTCCACACATTCATGAGTTGAATGGGCAATTGGAGTGCCAAAGGACAGAGGTATTATTAGTGATGAAAAGCCAGTTAATCACAGTTGCAATTTATCCATAAACACCAGAAAATTCGATAGAAAATCGAATTAGCAAATATGCTTTAAGTTAGCTAAGGCATCATAAAGGGAACGGAAAAATATCAGTTCGACATTATTAACAGTTAAATGACAATATATTATCCCGAATAATGATGGAATCATTCATAACTTCAAATGTTCACATTATTTTCTCATTGATGAGTTATGAAATTTGAGTTAATTTTAGCAAAATAATTCACTCATACAAGAAAGGATAAAATTTCATATACAAATAATGGAAGAAATCTGTCAGCTCTTGTTTACGGTAATTAAGAGTTACACCGCGATTATCAAAACTACCCAATAGGATTTACGCATTCTGTTATTTTCATGTTCTTGGAGAAGCACCTGAAAGTATGAATAAGGGAGACAGTACCCTTAGGGTTGAAATCAAGACCTCTGAAGCTGCCCAGCTGGCTGAAGAGAAGACTGATGAGGAACCAAAACCAACTTTCTTGGAAATAGATGAACTTGAATTATCGGATCGAGAGGCGGAGGACATTGATGTGAATCACAGACGAATAAAGTGCATATCAAAGTTGGAAACTATACCCAATGTAGGTCGTTAACTTTGTGAAACAATGTGTGCATTTAGGCAAGGAAATTGTGTTTGAGAAATAATCTGATTAAGTTGATCGAGAATCTGGAACCACTTGCAGAAATTCTGGTGGATTTGGACTTGTACGATAACCAAATCACTAAGGTGAGTTTCTGGAGTGGATAGTCTTTGCTTGTGTGTGTTTTACACTTGTTAATTACGGATGCGTATTGCAGATAGAAAATCTCGATTGTCTGAAAGTTATTGAGATTCTCGACCTGAGTTATAACCGCATTCGAACGATCGAGAATCTGGATTCTCTTAAGAGTCTCACCAAGCTGTATCTTGTGAACAATAAAATTTCGACAATTGAGAACCTCTCCGGTCTGCATAACCTCACAATGCTGGAGCTTGGATCTAACAAGATCCGAAAATTGGAGAACCTTGACTTTTTCCCAAATCTTGAAGAGCTTTATGTAGGCAACAATAAGATTGCGAAGTTGGAGGGACTTGATAATCTGCCAAAACTGAGAATATTGAGTATCCAAGTGAGTAAAGTTTTTTGAATTAGTGCGTTTTGCTTATTTTCCCAGAGAGTATTCTATACAGTGCTCCCCTTTTCTTGAGAGTGGTTTTATTCTCAGATTGAGTTTAGTGAATTTGCGGTTGGGTATCTGCTATCGCTTTAAATAGTTTCTTAGCCTTAGATGATTGATATTTCTGATGTGTTGTAATTTTGGTGAAGTCTCTCGAAAGCGACCACTTTTCAACAATCATCGTTATCTTTCAGAAGTCCAGTAGTGAAGAATGTTTGATAAGACATTAGAAGGCACAGGTTTTGAGAGAGGGTGGTTTGCGGATATTTTTTAGGTGATCACAAGACTATTTGCCATCGACAGGCAGCCTTATTTGCGTCATTGCTGCTTACGGCTTAATAGGGTGGTTAGGCGCAAACGTGCAGCGTCGTGCCACTCTGCTAGATGTTAAATTAACGTACTTGAACTGCAAAGGTGCATAGGCAGAGATGGCAATGCCAAAGTTCCCAGTACTGTCAATTCCTCGGTGGATGGTTTTTTTGCAATACACTTGCGCAGTATGATTCAGTGGTAATCTTAGAGCTTATCCGCAGTTGTACATTGAATTGTGCCTCATTTTCTGTCACCTTCACAGGGTCCTGTGCATGGCCTATTTCTTGGTCTTAAACCTGTTTGTAGTTTCTGGTTTTTACTCTGCTGTTTAGGGCCTTTTTATCCTAGTGGTTATAATGCCATCGCCTTGATTTGACTCTCATCTGATGTGAATATATTTTCCTAATGTCTACAACTCCAATTGGGATTTCTTTTTCTTCCAGCGTGGGCCTCCTTTTACAGTGACTGGACAGGTGGTCAACCTGGGGGAGAGAGTGTGTTTGGGTTGTCCCTGAAGCTCGTTCAAAGTATTATGATTTCCTATTGACTTCAATTTTGAAGCCATTCTTCGATTGTTAACTATTTCCAAGTAAACCGAGTTGTCTAGAGTATATCACTTGGTTATTTAGCATTTCCTTAGCATTAGTTGATTCTTAGTGAATTGTGACTGATTTCTCGTTACTTAGTAGAAAGGGGGAGGGGGTGTTGGTATCGATATGTGCACAACTTTAAATGTCCTTTTTTGTTCGATTTTCTAACTGACGTTGTCAAGCGCTAGAACTGTTATGTTATGAGCCCGGTCGTCAGGTTGTTGTCTTTTGTCTATGATCTAGTGCAACCGAATCACAAAGCTGGAGGGCTTAGACAAGTTGGTTAGCCTTGAGGAGCTCTACATAAGCTTCAACGGTATTAGCAAAATTGAAGGTCTGGATAACCTGGCCAACCTCCAAACCCTTGAGTTGGCGAAAAATCGAGTCAGTCGAATAGAAAACATCGACCACCTGCACAAACTGGAGGAGCTGTGGTTCAACGACAATCTCGTCGCTGATTGGGATCAGATCGAGGCTCTGGTGCCAATGAAACAGCTCAAAACCCTCTACATGGAACGCAACTGCATCTACTTTGCACCCGGCTCAACCACGATGGACTCAGCCTATCGACGCAAAATCCTTCTCAGACTCCCCTGGTTGAGACAACTTGACGCTACCCTAACCGGAGTTGGAATGTAACTCATTCTATCTCATTCCCTTTCCCCACCACTTTTATATTCCCTTCTCCCCGCCTCCCTTGTAATTCAGTGATTAGTCGATGATAAGGAGACGGGATACAAGTGTGAAATAAAGAAGCGAATTAACTTTATTCATCATCATCTGATGTCACAGTCTTCTCCAAAACATCCGGCCAAAAGGATCTGACAATTGGAATCCTGCTCCTTGTAGGTAGTTTTAAAATCCAAGGCCTCGCTCTGTCCATTGCGGATGAATTGGAGTTTGTCTGGAACAGTCGTGGGATCTTCTTCGCCATGTGTTGGTGGGTAGCGAATGCAGGCAAAGAGACGTTGAGGAGTGGGCGCGCTTAAGGTGGGATTTGGCCTGCGTGCACCGTATCTAGCTGAGATGCTCACGAGGCGATATGCTGGGAAGGGCTCCTCACTAGCTCCTTGGATGGTTAGCTCAGATGCTGACTGCGCAGTAGTGTCAATGGGCAGAGAGATCTAAGAGAAAGAAAGCTGGTTACACATGGGAAAACACCTACTGGAACAATTGTGGTCGCTCCTGGCGAGTTGATGAGTGGGCTCGTGAGGCTTTCGGCTATTATAGAACGAGTTTGGGGATCGAGTGATAAGGCCATTTGCTTTGAGATGTTGAAGTGGTCAATTGGAAGGGATTTTGTCACTTGGTAAATACTCCACTCGTGAAGGCGATCGGATAGTTCTTGAACCACCGGTCCGAGTTCTTTGTGGGTACCTTTGTTTACGTAAATTATGCATTAAGGAGTGCATACAAGCACGGATTTGGTATGAAAACTGTCCTACCACAGAATTTGAAGAACGTGTGCAGACTAACGGCACACAAGCTTCGACGGTGGAAGTCGTTGATGAGTTGCAAGAGTGTCTGAAATGCGTAAAAGGGTAGACGTAATTATACGGTGATTTCCCGGGGTAAGCTTTTTGGTGGGTTTGAGAAAGCACCTCGTAGTCTGAATGATGGTCCGATATTTGTTTGCGAAGATCACGCAATCGAGAGGTATACCAAGTGGTTAATGAAGGTGGTACAACTGGAAGAACAAGAGATGGCAATGTGGTATTATTTCAATATAACAGACTGAAAGGATAATAATAAATGACTTGACTAGGAATTGATATACGTTGCATATTATTTTATTTGTGCAGACTAATCAAAAGCACACTTAATATATTAATCGAAAATCGATATACAGCGTCGCACCAAAATAGTTCGAATTCCTAACATTGTCAAAACTGCATTTTCATAAACGGGCAAAATTACCAAAATGATGAAATAGGGAAATATGATGAGCGAGAAGGTAGGGTGCTATCCAATTAGCGATCGCGGATATTGATATAGCCTCCAAATCTTCAAAGGCACGACGACAAATTGGGCAGTTTTGCGGTGTCGCTCCTATATAAAAGGTAGAACCAGTTTACCATAAAAGGAGTAAGTTTGCCATTCGTTATATGCCTTAATTATTCATCAGCATGAGTTATTTACATATTTTCGGGTCATAAATAAATACGCTTTAAGATGCCCTCCCAAATGCAACATTAGATATATTTTTTAAGAAAATAGGTAAAATTACCCATAAGAACTAATATCTGTATGTACAAGCGAAGCTATAATCGAAATTCAAACGGTTAAAGAGAAAAAGATGTTTCGAATGCAATCTGCATTCAGTGGAGATAGTCGATTAATTTTAATGGCTGATTTAACATTGCATTCGTTTCTACTTCTTCATCCCGTATTTATAGAACGCCACATTTTCATATAACAGGATGATTAAGTTCGAGTGATTCGATGCCAATGTCCCACAGGTGTACACTTGTTGGCATAAGATAACTTGGGCTAGAGACAATACAAATAAACTCTATCAAACTTTTCTAAGTTATACACACCAACGACGGATATTTAGGATATTGTGACAATTTTTGAAGCTTAATAAATAATTAAAAGCAAATTTTTAGTTTTCGATAAGAAGCATACATGTATGTACATACAAAGATTTCTAAATAAAAATAGTGAAAATACCTGAATGGTGAAAATCTTGTTCTTCAACCGCATCAAAGAATTCGTCCTCGCTTGATTTCGTCGATTCGCGACTTGTCAAAGCAAGAGCAGCTGAACACGAATTAAAATTCAAACTGGTAAAATGACAACTAATGAGAAGACTGCCTGAATCGTAAATGACACAACCGTAGTTTAGTTTAAACTAACAGTCGAGAAATACTCACAATGATGTTGCAAGATCACGAAAAGGGTCCGATCAACCGGGGAGTCAGAGAAAGGAACCGTAGCATCATCAACAGGATGGATTGTAAGTAGTTCTGCCTCAGGCGCGCGTTCGAGGTATTTGAGGAAGGTCACCCAGGCACCAAAGACAACTTTGGAGAAGGCATTTGATGAAAGACGCAAGGTGATTATATGTAGGGCGACCAGTAAAACACGGATTGAAGTTCCAGTGTAATGACACTTTGGCACATCAGGTAGAACCTACGAAGCGAAGAACACTAGTGATGATTATAAAGTCCAGTGAATAATAGCCCAACATAAAGCCTCTTTGATTTTAAAGTGGTTTGTGAATGAAAACTTAAGAAATGAAAAAACATGCACAATTCGAATCCAAGTAAGCAATTTAATCCTATTAGATGCCATTAATAAGCATCTGTATTGGCTAAATAAATAAACTAACTGACGACGATGGAGAAAATGCACAATCCGTGAGATGTGAAAGTTAGTGAAAATGTAAATCGACACTAAGCGAAATTAAGCATACTTGACTCAAAAAACTAATCCGAATCGAAATGCTAGAATATTTCAAAAATGAAATGAGGCCAGAACCAATAATATGTGGAAGTCTCGAGTTTTTATTTACAATATCGAATTATTCTTTCATTAAAAACACTATATTTTCCCATTCAAATCAATTTTTAGCACAATTAAATGTCCACCAAATCAAATAAAGCTAATGATCATTAAAACCTACCTCGTTGTCAGATTCTTGAGTCGTAAAGGACTTTGGAAAGAGAAGTGAAGTGGACGGTTCCTGACTAAATGCTGTCTACAGTGAGTGAAAAAATAGGTATAGATAATTCATTTCTAACTTAATAAATTACTATTAGCAAAGCGATTGAAAACAGCCACATATAAAGACAAAAATTATAGTCAGTTACGGTTAATGCGCCATCCAAAATGCTTTTAACGAATGAATCCAGGTTCTTGGGAGGTTTGACGGAGTCTTAAAACAATGCACTTAAAAATAAGTTGGAAGTGAGAGAGAGAGATTACAGAAAAAATATACAAAGTTAACTTACTGGAAGCAAGGGCTTTCGTGACTGATTCCCATACATCACCTACAAATGAAAGAGCCAAGTTAAGGTGTTGGAATAGACTATGACGCTCAATATCTAAAAGTGAGAAGGTAAGGCAATGCAGTGATAAAACTCTATCTAAACATCGACACACCTGGATTATTATTTTTTTAACTACAACTCATTTGGATTTCACGCTTATCTTTTCCACAGTTTAATGCCCACCCACTTATTGCAGATGTGTTTGCGAAGATAAGGCCTTCCTTTCTACTAGCCAAAGAGCTATTTTATCAACAAAAATACAACCGGTTTCCATTCCGCTGTTCGATATTCATAAGCTATTCCTAAAGTCAATAGACTCTATTGGGGTGTAATGGGTGCATTAAATGCTCAAGACTTACCGACAAGAGAATAGTTGGCTCCTGACATGACGCAATCGGCGAACCAATCACTCTGTGAGGATTTAACCAGCCTAAACAAAAACACAAATATGGCACAATAACAAAGTTCAAATGTGCCAAATGAATAAAAGGTATTAAATAGAAAAGCATATTTTTAGTAAACGTTCATTACTTTACAGCTTAAGGTTGGCATAAGTTACCTTTCTAGAAGGCTTGCCATGCTTATTCATAAACCATTCAACCATAGCTTGAATAGTTGAGCATCATCTTTTCAAATTAAGATATTGACCTTAAAAATGCGAAACACATGCTACAATGAATCTTCAGCATTAAAGGTGATTTCCTTGAACGCATATCTGATAGGCAAAATGACAGCACATGCTGAAGAAAACATGGAGCCATAAACCACTCGAACTTCGCTAGCTGTTTCAAGCACTTGAGAGAAGTTCTCAGAATTCCTTCCTAATGCACTGCAATCGTAGAAGTTTAGGCTTGAAATAAAGCGAATAACTCATCCTATGATACCCTCATAAGTATAAACAATTGAACTTTCCTAACCAAAGACATTTAGAACTTAATTTTCGGACCTTTCCTATTTGGTAATAGGAACAATAGCTGTGGTTTTACGTAAGTAAGCAGCACTAACTTAAAAGCGTACTATCAGTCTTGAAAGAATATTTCTAGCCTCAATTAACCACCAACATCTTTCAATTCACCTATAAATCTTTCTGAATTAATTGAAAGTGTGCGTTCGCTCTAAATTGGGAACCATAAGTAGGTAAACACAATTATTTTGTAGGAATTTGAGGAATTATGTTATTGTGGCGCAAAAAAAGGGAAAAACAAAACATACATATCATCGTCACGACTTTGCACTTATGCGTTTTCTAAATTACCCTCAGTTAAGTAATTAATACTTTATATCAATCGTTGTAATCCCCCATTTCATAAACTAATTAAAATCACTTGGACACACTCCGATATTTATAGCTTCAGGGGTGTTAGTTGAACTCTCAATTAATGAATTCACGGCCGTGTTAACTACAATGCAGAATGCCTAAATTATAAAATTAGGTTACCAAAGATAATTTTTCTCAAAGATACTTTTTGTCTTGGCAATGAATAATGACATATTGGGAAGCAACCTATCGAAATTATCTAATTTTGAGTTCGATCATCCGATTAAACTAATCCTGTGATTTGCAGCGTTTCTATTACTCTGTGCACTATACAAAGAAATGTACTTCAACCGCACACCGGAGGATATTGAAGGTAAGTTAAACCTTAAAAAAACTCACACATAATCACTAAAATCTCTTTCGGACTATGAGCAAAGTTAATAAAAAATCTGCTTACCCAAACGTCCCATTTATGCAATCAAGAGAAAAGATAAGGTATGGCAAACGTCATTAAAATTAGCATCGTGGACATTGGCTCATGAATGAAATTTCACCATCAAAGCACACAGATGGAATCGTAATCGATATGAAATAATTAAAAGGCATAGAATGATATAAATACACAATCCTAACTCATTTCTAATCTGTTGCTAAAATTCTCTAAATCTAAGCGGTTTCGGGTGTCAAAGTGATATGTCCTGACTACAAGTTCATGTACTAAAATTTTCCATGGGCAATATCGATTCCACATCGTAAATTTGTTATCATAAAAATGCTTTTTATTTAATAGTTACTGCCCTTAGCATTCCCTATCGCTATTAATGAAAGAGTATAAATAGAATGGAGTCGATATTCACGAACTATTAGGCATCATTTCTTGACAGCAATTTTGAAAGAAAACTCTGAGTTATGGACTTTAACAATGACTGCCAGTTACCAGAAGTAGGTGCCACTGAATCAGTACATACAAAGAGTCTATTAAGGCGGAAAGGCGTGGGATAAAGATAAATTGTGTTTAAATTATCGGTGTCATGACCTCTTTGCAAATAAAAGCGTGATGAGAAAGAACTAACGACCGATCAGTAGATGGGCGCTACAAGAATTTTAAGAAAAGTTATTACCAAAATTTTGCAAAGAGGAGTATTGACCCCTAACTGTTTCTTGAGAATATTTTTGAGCAAAAATGTATTCAAATCGATTGGTTGAAAAAAGATGTTTACATTTTTGCAACTACTTAAGTTGCTTTCAGTTAGTGTACTCGACCTTCGCAAAACTCCTGTTTTGTCGGCAAAATCAAATATAAGGCGATTACACGACAGTGGTGTGGATGCTAGATTCTAGGTCCCTCCTTATATTATTTTACCTGTTTTCTTTATTCTATTTATCGTTAGCGTTCTCACGATCTCCCACTATCTCTGGAAATACTCGATCCTTATTTGTTTCTGTTCAGTAAATTCCGCTTTACCTTCGAATCCATGATCTGAATCTCTGGGAGCGGTTGACCGCTGATAGCTGATAGATGCAAGTCTAAGCTCAGGATGGAGAATTGGCACTGAAGGTTAATGATTAATCAATGATGTTCAAAACCAACTAAGACGCGTTATTTACTATCACATAGTTTGGCTTGCTTTCTACAAATAGCCATATCCCTCATATACTTATGAGGGTTATAAAATTTTATACCAAAAAAAAACAAATATTACCTGAATTCGGGATCATTATTGATGACTTCTGAGTGAAGGTCCGTAGAATCTGCAAACAAATTCAGCTGTCTACAAAGTTGAAGAGGAGGTAACGTGACAAATTAACTATTAGACAATTAAAACGTTGGCAAGTAGGAAGCATACAAATGAAGGAGGATTTGAGAAAGTAGACGTTCCGGTGAACATACAAATTCCACGGGATTATCTACAAACAGTGAGAGTATGACACAATCAGGCCTAACAGATTTAAAGTATTTAACGATAATGATCTACCGAGATGGGAGAAGGATTGGCCAGTAAATCTTAGATTGACCAAACGAAAGTACTGAAGGACGAAAATGTCCAAATTCTTACAAGTACCCTACAATGCAAACACAAGACAATAATAAGTACTTTGAGGTCAAACAAACACTACAGACGGTGGTTCTTTTATTTGAAAAATTGGCAAAACTCCACAAAATAGTCTAACCCTACTATTGAGATCAAAACTACTCAAAAAGGAAATATCGGCAATGGTGCTTCCAAAATATTGGTTCGGACAATGCATTTAGATGTTATATCGTATATAAACACATACCTAAAACGCTGGAAAAAAAACAGTTAAAACGTGGAAATAGGGAAAAAAGATTTAGACACATTCCATGATATTTCGTTTAACCCCTTAACGCATGAATTATTTATTGGAAATTGTATCAAACCGCACTCTCGCGGGTCTCACAGCAGACTGATGCCGCCGACGTGATGAATTTTGGTGGTATCAAGCAAAGGCTACAGACGGATTGAGCATGTTTCAAACGGCAATAGTACCTTCTCTTACGAGTCTAGTACCAATGGAGCTTATTTTGAAAGAGGACCATACGATCCCCTAAGGACGATAATGGATTAACCATGGATAAAGCCAGTGTGCTGACGAAAAAGTATCCCTGAAACAATAACATACAATCCTATTTATCTTATATTTAATCAGATATACGACCTATTATACAATAATAAGAGAAAGAGATTGTAGATATTATTTGTGGGTTACCTAGAATAGAAACATTTCTTCCAATTCAAGAGGCTTCCCGCTAAATCATAAATTGAACAGAAAAATACAAATTGGAGGCGCCATTTGTTTGGAAATAAGACAATCTTAGAAGACCATGGAAAGAGTCAAATTAGTTAAATGAGCAGACCTTTTATTTATTTATTTATTATTTTAAAAAGCGTAGTAGAGAGAATGTTTATTGTTATTTATTTCCACAGTTCTTAACTAGTGAATAAATTAAAAATTAATGCCAGAATCAGACGTGAACACTACGCGAAATGTTAAGTGTACACGAATTTCCTGGGGAATGACCAACGTAACAATTTACATCCGCCTCTCTATAGCGAAAGAAATGTTCCTCTTCCTTTCTGTGAAGCCCGAAGTCAAAAAAGGGCTAATGATACCTATCATGAAGCCTACCACTTGATATTAAAAAATATTCCGAACCAGCCCCTAGTAATCATAAACAACAAGTTTTAAAAGACTACACGACAAAGTGATCAGATTAACTGAAACAATCAGCTCAAAAATATCGGGACAAAATATAGTAAAACCCTTTGGAGAATGACCTTAGGCTATTCTATAAATCAACCTAAATTACAAACATACCCTAATATTTATTGAACTTGATTAGCATTCTAAGGGCTTTAAAAGGGAATATTTTACAAATGTAAAAAATACAGAAATCGAGACAGAATTTATAAGATACTTCACTGGAGTTCAGACAATCTCAACAGATTTCAAAGGTCTAAACCCTCTAATTTGGTTGCATAATCGATTCATCTCAAAAGGAAAAATTAAAACCATTATAATGACTTAATATAAACCAATTTAGAATAATATTAAGTTCAATAGTGACCAAAGATTAGCATAACTGAGAGACATACGACTTTTTCAAGAAAGATATCTCGAAGTTTGGCCAGGTGTGTTTCCGCATAGGGTAATTCCGAGGGTCCCATTGCATATTCAATTTTCTTCAATCCCGAATCCGGCACCAAATTATGGAAAGGTAGAGGTGAATTTGTGAGCTCCGCTCGATAAAGACGCAGACCATGATAGAGCTTGTCATTACCATATGATACTAACACTGGCAATTCACTGAAAATAAGCAAAAATAATGTTAAAAGAAAGGCTATAAAGTATAAATGTTGAATAAAATCACTCTATTTTCGGTAAATTAACCAGTAAATACAAACAAATTAAACGACGACTAAAGTCAAGCGGAATAAAAAAAGATAGAAATATTAAAAAATCACGTTAGTCGATAAGCGAGCGAGATTCTCCACCGCAATTGGTGAGCAATTAAGAGAAAGCAAGTAAGAGAGGATTGTGATCTCAACTAAGTGGAGAATTTTAACGTCTACCATGAAGTATTCTGAAGGTAGATACGCGGAATTAAGGAGACAAATGGGGGCCTCGTCGATGAACGATGAAGAACCATTAAGATAGAGAAAATGTGGTTAGAGGCTAAGAGTTTTGAAACAAACAGGTGGTAACTATCTTTAGCAAATTTCACACGCCTAATTACACATAAATGGGGCAGAGAAATACAGTGAAAAAGGGCAATGATTCCAAGTGCTTAGAAGGAAACGCGCAATGACTGAGGCGAATTCGCAAAAATTTAAGGATGGAAAACGTATATCATATTAGCACTAGTATAATATTACAATAAAGTAAAAGAGAAAATGTATAATGAGAGGCATACCACTTAGATGCCGCAAGAGCCATTTCAATGGAACTCAGTAGTAGACGAATTCGAGTAGTTCCAACCAGTCTTCGTGCGTCAGGATCAGCAGGAGAGATAAGAATAAATTCCCTAAGATCATATCTGGAAGCGAAAATATGAAGGTAAAATAAATAAAATATCATTAGTGTTCAAAATTTCAATTACTTACGTAGATGCAACAATCAATACCCTGGATATTTCAAAATCCAGTTTTTCTAAGGTAAATAAGTTGTAATGAAGCACTTGCAATAAATATCGATATGACACAGATAAAAACCCATACTTGTTGTCGAAACAGGACATGCTATGAAATTTTCGACTCTGAATTCAAAGGAATCGAAAGAAGCAATTGCAGTTCTGATGAGAGAAATTGGACCAGATTCATCCTAAAAATATTGAGGATAAGAAATAATAACCTTACACGAGGCGTTTTAGCTGACTTCAGCCAGTCCAATAATATAATCTGTAAGTCGGAGATGAACCTGAAGAAATATATACCAAGAAATGCAATACTTTTCCCAAGGAGTCACATTTGTATAGTCCTCAAAGCGGTCCTCAGGCTAAAATTTAACAAGGGTAAGACCTCTAAGTTTTCGTTATTCAAACTATTTGTATAAATGAAAAGAATTTTGCACTATATTCTATATACACAAAATGCCTTAAACAGAGGTCTAAAATGGCAATGGAAAATTAACGGGTTGTCTATACAATTAGAAATACATAAATCGCAATAAGCATACCAATCTTTCTCTGAATAGGACTTCCTTATTCCTCTTTTTACGAATTTCCATGTTCAAAACACGCACATGTCCTAAGAAAGATTATTAGGAAGGAAATATTTGTAGAGAAATTAGTCGATCATAAATGGGAATATTTAAAGCACATTCTTAACATTTAAATTCTTAAGATGAATTCGTTAATTACAAGGCTCTGTTTCTATATTAAAATGTCAAGCAAGTCAATTACAAATATCTTCATATTTAAATATATTTATCCACGATTTAAATATAGTTGCAAAATGGGATTCAATTTTATTTGCATTATGAAAGCGGTTTTGGTATTTAGAAAAATGGCGGACTAAATAATGCGAAGGTCTTGCTTGAAACAGACAATCCTGTCTTCTATATGTGCTGGATGTGTTGTAGGCTCAATTGATTTTACTAGAAGGGGTATGTGTGAATAATATTAAATTATGCTTCAGGGAATTTGAGACTAGCCACAAAGATGACACTTTTGGCCGGCCTCTGTGCTGGTGCATTTGTAAAGTTTGTAAAATGGTTTTCGTAACATAAAATTTAGTTTGCTTTGTCAATCCAGGCGTGTATCTCAAGATGTCTCGAGCAAAGAATCGTTCTGGGAATATAAGAGGAAATTAGATGAACGTTTGAAATTGAAGTATGAACAATAAATGGGGTCGCTTGAACCTTTTAACTAATAAAGAGTAGAAAATAAATATTATAGTCATTCATCACCCCGCCCTCCCCTTTTTTGGACTATTCTTTGTACTCGCTATTAAAAGCGAAGTGATTGGAATCGCATGACTATTTTTTCACTAAATCACTGGTTCTTGGGACTATCTAAAAGTACAATTGGGTGTTAACTTGTGGTTGCTATTTTTATGTCGTTATAGAGATGCCTTGTTTTTAACGTTTAAGGTATTATGTTATGGAGAGGCGACAGTTCAGCTGGGATTGTCTATATGCTGTAGAATGGTGAGCAGAGGGGGGGGGGGAATGGCGCTTCGAAAAGATAATAAGAATTACGTATGAATGCAATTGATGCATTTAGGTGTATGTATATGAGTGGGCTGTCTATCCATAGGGAATGTTATGAAATTGTATCTTAAGATATGGTCGAGAAGAGGTTATTATCGCTTGGTTGAAGCATTAATGTAGCAGAAATTTACGCATGCCTACGCCAAGGCATCAACTGTGAATTAGGACTACATTTATAGAAAGGATACGCATGGAAGTAAGTTTGTTACTACCCCAAAATTGTAATTTAACGAGTTCAGATAAGCATTTTTGATATTCGATGTCTTATGATTTTCAATATGGATTCTATTCAATTGCGAAAATCGTGGTTAATCACCAGTAATTGACTATTTAAAAAGACTAAGGAGTACCAATGCAATTTTTTAAGGATTTATTGAAATTCTGTAGAGATTAATGGCTTACAGTCTCAATAGAATGTGAATGTTTTTAAATATAACCATGTGCCAGTTTCAAAACTCGCTTGCCCATGTTTCTTAAAAATGCCTTCAGCAACTTACCAATTTAGCACCAATTGCAATTGATATTTGAAGCCACTCAAGAAAGATGATAAATAAGAAAGATGACATGAAATGAATGTCAGCGTTAATTTTTGGGGCTTATTTGCACCAGATTGTTCAAACGATACTCAGAAAATTTGGAAGTGTTAACTCTATATGTTGATTACAAACGTGCAATACTGATTATGCCGATATGAAATATTAAATAAACGTAATGAAATTATTTAAATAACACAAACATCAATAAATATACTTTCAAATAAATTGTTTTATGTGTTTAAAATAGAGACCGGTTTAACTGAACTTTCAAGGTCGGCATTGCCTTTTTATTGGTTGGATATTCCGTCTCATTTTTTAGTGGGATATTGAGGAATAGTGGGTAGTACTCTTGCATAAATTAATGTATTTTTATTTACTAATTGAAAAGTATTGCTTCTTTTCATGACTTTGCATGAGATTGGACTGTATATATTTGGAATTACAGGATACTTTTTATTAAATTTCATTGGGGTTAACTTCGCAATTTGTCCATCACAATTCACTTCGCGCATACTTTATTATTATTTTATTATTTATTATTATTTTATTTTCCATGGAATTTTATCCTTGTGGGCCTGGTAGAATTTTCATATAATGTTTCATTAAGCGTGCTTATATGTTTTTAGTTTTAAAACTTCCATGGCGCGTTTATTTCATTTCGTTTACTTTAAAGGCATTATAATTATCTTACAGTCGTAAATGATTTGAAATTGGCTTTGTTGCTATTTGTATTATAACTTGCATCATCGTGTATTTCAATTGTCTAATTAGAAGCTTTGTTGTTGAAACCAACCACACATTATGACGTTGGGCGATATTTTTAATTGAAATTGTAATTTATGTTAAAATTGTTTACTTCGTTAATTTATCTTTTTCATTTCAGTTTCTAGTTTCTGGTTTTGCGAAGATGAATTCCTATCGCTTTGAAGAACGAGGAAAAAGTCATGCAAATGGACAGTGTGTTTTATTTTTACCTTCTCTTATTTCACCCTAATAGTTTCGAAAATTAATTTCTTTTATTTAGTTTTAGTCGCTTTCGTGAGGATGTTCGACACAGTATGTCATTTTTTTACTTACAGGTTTTTCCTTTTGCTCTGATAATTTTTAACTGTCGTCCATATTTAATTATTATTATTTTTTCCTGCTAGATTTATATATTGCACTTTTATTCAAAGTATTAGTCTTATTTTGTGGTTTTAAAGATTTTTTTTATTTTAATAAATTTTATTTTTTTCTCCTTTTTTTGCTTTTCTTTGAACTAATATATCATATTTCTAAATGAAATTTTCTTGTGTAATTAGCTTTCCCTTGCTGATCTAAATGCATAAAATTATCGTCTCTTGCATAATCAGTAAGCTGTTTTCATTTCATCTTATTTTTCTTTTTTCGTCATTTCTTGGGAAAAGAATCGACATAGTTCAACTTTTCTTTTCACAGAATATTCAATACTTAGATGTAAAGAGCTCGGAAACATTTTGAAATTATCTTCTCTTGTAATGCAATAGTTTTCACCTCTCTTTACTATTTGATTCTATTTTCTGGAATATGACTCATCATTTATTGATTTTTTCGTTCGTATATTAGCGCAATTTTTGCTTACCAAGCAGATGTTCTTTCAGTCTATTTGGTCAATTTTGTATTGCTTCTCTTGCACATGTGCGAATTCATGTAATTTTGAATCAATAAGTTCTAACCTCTATCGAATGAGAAAATGAGCTTAACCTGTTTATCATGCGCTTTTCTAGCTTGTCTTGGGAAAGGTAACTAATAGTAGACCGTTGCCTTTCACTAATTTGATTAATTATCGGACAGGATTTATAGTTTCATTCATTTTCACACCTAGCTTTGCTGTCCTTGAGATTTGCTCGCATCATTTTTTACTTGCACACTCAAGTGTTTCCGATCGCGCCGGTTGTATCGCCACGCCTTTACACGGTTAACCGATATATCAATCCATTTTGAATACTCGAGCTGTATTTAAACATTAATTGCATTCATTGTATTCACATATCTTTATTTTATGAAATATTATTTTCTAAACACCTGTATCAGCTAAGTGATTAGCGAAACAGAATCAAGCATACTCTTCAGAACGCAGAAAATTCTATCAATAAAATTTTCCTTGAAAATACAAAAACTGCTTTGTGCTACTTTTGCTTAACAGGAGTTTGGAAATGAATGTAGGAATTTGGTCTATTGAGTGAAGATTTTTCTTCTAACATTACAGGTAGACGAGTCATTTGAATTTATTTAATTTTCTCGATTGATCTTTAATGTACTGCAACAGATTCTAATGTTTGCCTAATAAGAATCATCTCCATCACTCGAGAAACCATATTCGAGGAGTTGTTGTCTTTCATATTTGAAAGCTGCCTGAATTTTCCCTTCTTAAGATATGGAATCTACGATCTATTGATTTGTGCTAAGTTTATTTTAAGCATACTCTTTAATTTAAGCACCATTTGTATTTACTTAGTACTTAATTGCAAACTTAGAGATTTAGTAATTGCATTTAATGACTTTTTATTTATTTCAGTTTTGTCTAAGTTGTTTATCTCTTTGGCCAGTCTAACTTATCACGTTATTATATTAGCCTAACTAATATATGTACAATGGGTTATTGGGGATTCGTTCTGTCGAATTTAAAATTATTACTGGATCTCCTGATGTTTTGAAGTGCGATAAAGCGTTTGTTTCTAGTCTTTGTTGTTTTTTTTTGTTTTTATCAGAATCTGATCGTCCGTTAGTTACTACAGTCTATAAAAACTGGCCAAACCTTTTAATGCCATTCTAAAATCGTTCGTACTCTTGAATAAGTACGTTGCTGCGAGAATGCCTTTCTAATGGAGCCCTTCTATTTGCATTTAGCCTGCTGTTACTCCCCTCACCCCCTATCATTGTCTTTTTTTTGGGGGGGGGGGCTTTTGAAATTATGCCCTACTGCGTATATTTGAATTTCTTATTTCTCACCTACAACCACTGGAAATCAATAATAATCCCAAGATTTCTAGTCTTTTGGGAGGCAAGTAATCAAGTAAACTAGCTCATCCGAGCTTCAGTTTCAAATTGTCCTCTATTAACTCTCATCAGCCATATTAGCATTGCCTTCATTGAAAAAGTCAAAATTTATTTATTTCAATTATTCCTTTTACCCAACAAAGAAATCTATCAGTCGATAAAATATCTGTGACTTTGGGATAATCAACCCACGAGGTTTTTTAACAAATTAACTTAAAATTTTTTTTAATATATCACCTTTCCCCCAATTAATTGGCTAACAATATTGTCTTAGAATTTATGACTATTAACAAAGCTTTCGAAATAGTTTTTTTTTCAGTTCGAACTTTCGTATACATTTCTCTTCTACTTAAACTACATTAAGCATTAAACGATGGATAGGGGGACTGTTTAAGTGAATTTCTTTGGTAGCTTTAATTGGTCGTCTTTCTGGGTTTTAAAGTTTGTCCCTTGGTCTTAGTGATATTTAATTTTGTAAAATTGTTGGGTAGACCTTTGTCATTTACAGAAGAGCCAATGTAGGTAAAAAGTGCTTCCTTTGCTAATCCTTAGACATCCATTCGGAGAGGTGAATTTTCCAGCCAAATGGCAGCATACAACCTCAATTTTTTTACCTTTCACAGTGCATATATTTCAAAAATTAACTGAAGCATTTACATCAGCTTTTCGACTTGTTCTGTTGACGAAGTGGCAGGATAAAAGTAGAAACGTGATCTAAATTGCTTTTCATTATAGAACATCACATGGAAAGGGCAAATTTTTATTAAAGGATATAGAGTCTATACGTGAATGAAAGTTTAAAATAAGGGTATAAAGTTTCAATCTGCCTTGATGATCACAAGCTTCACCTTGAGTGTGTGCTATGTAATTGAATATGTGGTCTGATCTAGCCATTGGTCATACTGCCCTCACATATTCGGCTTCCTCACTGGTTCACCACATTCATGCGTATGTTTCCGTTTGTCTACCTAGGTTGTGGCCTTACTTCTAACCTGCTTTGTGGCTTATACTTAAGCCCTCTACAAGTTCAAGGTACTTCTGTGCTCAACCGTTCTCTTTTTATTATCTTTACAATTTTTCCTCATTATTTTAGTGAATAAAGACGAAGAACCACGCGCTGTAAGGGAGGGCAGAAGTGAACCCTTTCGTCGTAGTGGGCGAGGCGCTAATTTCAATTTTAACCACACCGCTACTTATGAGCCCGAGGTTGAACGCCATGTCCACGTCACCCGTCGCAAAGAAAATTTAATTGTGCGCATCCCGAATGATCATTACCAGATGGATCTAAATGGCAAACCCAACGTCAACCGTCGTGGTCAAGGCAACAACAACAGTAATATTAGCAATGGTAACAGTGGAACCATCAGTGGTGTCCGACCGAACCAAGGGCCTCTGAGATCTAGCATGAGGAATTCGAATAATGACGGACAAAAGTAAGCAAAATATGCCATTCTTATGATGGTCGTGGGAGACAAGAGTGTGCTTGTATGTAGAAGGTTTAAGTATTAATTGATAGGATTGATTATTATTTTATTCCTTTTCATCTACGTCAAGTTCCTATTCTTTGTGTAGTTTTTACGAGAAAAAACTAGAGTAGTGAGTGCGTTTAATAAGTAACCGGAAACAAATTTTCAACATGTATATCTTGTCTTTAAAAGTCGCTACGAGGCATTCTTGATCAACGTTTGTTTTCGCCTTTTCTATCCTTTCAAGAATATATATTGGTTTAAAAGCTTGTTGAGGCTTCTGTTTGGAAAAGAAAATGCCAACATAGTAGAACGATTCGATTTGAGTTATTGGTTTTATGGATGTTTAACTCTAACTAACATTGTCTAAATTATAGGGGATTAGTAATGAGCAAATGCATATGAAAGCTTAGAAAATAGTTTAAATAGTTTATCAGTTTCAAGCTCAGTAGTGAACAATAGTTAATGAATAAATTCATTAAATCGATCTTTTTCCCTTCTCAGTCAAAGATATAATTCGTGTGTACGAGTTGGTTCAATAACTAAAATCGAGATTAGTCTAAACATGTATGTCATGAATCTCCTATTTTTCTTCCTTTTAGCCAACCTAGACCTAGATTTGAGACTTCCGAGAGACACCGAAATCGTTCATTCCGAGAGTATTCAGACAGTGGTCCTGATTGGAAACCCGATGGTTCAGGATACAATGGTATCTATATAGAGCCTTCAAATCTCTCGATTTTTTGCTAGATCCTTGAATTGAATTTCTCTATTATGATTTTATTTAGGCGGAAGTCGGGGAATGTTTAACTCAGCCTTTGTATCATCTGACTGGAATAGGAACTTAGGGGGTAGACGCAGTGGAAGATATAATGATGGTGCTGATGGTGGTAGTAGAGGAATGCGTCGTAGAGGCGGCGGCGTTGGTGGAGACAACGGTTTCATTCCTTTCAGAGTCTCCGAGAGCGATTATCAAAATGATCGTGGTACGTTCATTCCTTCATGTCTCAATTTAACGTTGATTATATTTGTGTGAATGTAAAATAGCTTAATCGTCTTATCTGTTGATTGCACATCTTTTGGCTTTCCTTTTGTCTTACTTTAGCAGCTTAACATTTCTAACCTTTTTTGCACTTACTTGAGATAATATATCAAATAAGTAAGTCTTCAAAACCACTTGATTTAAGTCTCCTTCTGTCTACACTTGCATACTTAGTCTATTTGACTAAGGGTCATTCGGAGATATAAATCGGATCGAGAGTATAGGCTTTCTAGCATACCATTATTTTATAAAATTTTAAATCAACTTTAAAAATTTCGGTATTTTTCTCTGGTTTTGTTTGCGATTAGGATCTCTGTTCTAGAGGTCGGTAGGTTCTTTCTGGAGCTTAACTTTCCTGGTGATTGGGCTGAGTTTCAGTTTTCAAAATCGAAGATTCGCATTCGTTTTACGATTTTGATTTTCTGCCATTTTGACTGTTATCAGAAGGAAGCTTTAGTTTCTAACTGAATAAGGTTTAACCCTTTAACTCTCTTAGGGCAGTATGGTCGTCTTTCAGAATAAGCTCCATTGGTTCTAGACTCGTAACAGAAGGTGCTATTGCCGTTTGTAACATGCTCAATAGGTCTATAGCCTTCGTATGATACAAACTTATTACGCGGGTATCAGTTTTCTGTGGGACACGCGTGATTGTAGTCGGGTGTATTTTTTTAAAAAAATTGGTGTTAAAGTGTTAATAATGTGTTGATGGCGTCATTCTCATTTTTGCAATTTTTTGTGTTAACTAAGGCTGTTTATCTCTACATAGATTCATTTTAATTTAATCTTTATTAATTCGTTTATGGATTACTATTGGTTATATTGTGGTGTTTCCGCAAACCTTTTCTGGCTGGTCAATTTGACCATTGTATTGTTATAAAATTTATTTTCATCTATTATAATAATGAACCTGCATAACTATACAATGTGGTGTGCATTAAAAAAACATTTGCTTAGTTGTGCATCGAATTTCAACAATTATTGTGAACCAATGAATTTTGCGTTCGTTTTTAGTTTTACTGTTCTGTATTCAATATTTTAAAATACAAAAAGTAATATTTATCCACCCTTCTGTATTCACACAGAACCCCTATTATCTTGGCCACCAGGCATAATCTTTTTGAAATGTACCTAGTTTCTTGTTACCTTCTGTGATATTCTTGCTCTGATCTTGTTTGCTATCTTCTCATTTGTCAACAACAATCATCTCCATTATCCAACTTTTGTGTATTATGTTTAAGTTAATTGTGTTATATTCTGTATTTAAAAACGATTCCTATATCTTCCACCACGTAATTGTCCTTGATAAGTATTTTCACGTTATTTCAAAACTCGTTCTTAAATGCTTTTTTAAATTAGTTTTTCTTTCTTTGATTACTTTTATGAGAATATTCGAATGAATATTTTCTACTTCCCACGTTTACTAATGATTTAAAATCCTTTCTCTCCTGTCAGATAATAGAATGGGTGATCGCTCGCATCATGGCGCTCGTGGTGGCTTTAATCGTCGTGGCAGCATTCGGGGTTCCCGTAATGGTGGTAGTCGAGGCGCTAGGGGTGGTGGTTTCTCATCACGAGCTCACGACAACAATCAGTCGGCATGTAAACCCGAAGTCGACGGTAGGATTATTTTACTCCTCCAGAATCCAGTGAGCTGGGTTATTCCTTGATCTGTTTGTGTTTTTTACTTTATAGATCATACTTCTGAGTTGGATAAGCAAAATTGTATTGTAAATCCCGAGGATAGTAATTCTACTGATGATGATCAATATCACCTCAATGTTGATATGAAGGTTAGTGCAATTTTACCTTCTCTCTATTATAATCAGTCGTGTAAGAATGAGGGATTAAAGTTACTGAAAAAGGTAGCAATTGAATGAATTGTTATATTACTCTGGGTAGAGTTTGGGCTTTTCTTATGCTCACTTTTGTTGAGCTGGAAAGCTGTGGGATGCACAATCAATATGAGTATGGATTTTCTACTAACAGTAACACATATTGAAATAAATTTTCTTAGTCAGCTGCTTTGCGTCTCTTGAACTACTTCAAATTATCTCGGTCGCGGCAGTTCGCGTGCAGCTAAAAGTATTTTTGCAATTTTAAATAGTTGGTCTTATGCTCAACTTCGTTCTCAGAGCCCTACTCTCGATGTTAATCACGTTCTCCTATTTGTACTCAACAAATGATATAAAGTCCATTTTGTCTTAGTAATTGTGTATCCATGATAACAATTAAATAGGGAGAAGTGTGGTTATCAATGTGATATTTACTAGATTTATGAGAGTGAGATATGAAGATTTTAATTCAAAAATAATGATTCAATGGTGGTGAGGTCTTTGTGCTCGTTTTCACTCAAAAAATTTAAGGTCATTAAGTTCAAATGAAGACTATTCCAACGATCAGTTGGTAACAAATTACTTCATATGAAGGTATCTTTATGTTTAAATTTGCTTTCCATTTTCTTGTTCCCTAAATACCTCCTCTGAAACTACAAATGCTCACACGATTTGACATCAACTTCTATTTCGGTTTCAAAGCTGTATTTATGCAGTTAGCACAAGTTCAATGATAATAATAACGATAAGCAGTTTAATCGATCCGATTTATTTTCGCCCCATTCCCCTCTCATTTTTCGATTTTTCCTTTGTCTCTCTTTCGCCATGCCCAAAAAACGTACGTTGCTACTTTTGAACCCCACATGCCTTCGCAATGTTTGTTAATGCTTTATTGTATGTTTGTGTTCTTTAATTTTTCCATTTATCTTCTCTGCACGTACATGTATTTGGAAATAAAAATGCATTTGTTTATGATCCATTTTGGGGGCATGCACTGAATGATGAGTAGACTTTCACCGTTACTGATCCTCTTATATCCAACCCTATTCTCACTGTGCCCCTCTCAGTGTGGTCTAAAGATGATCTTTCTTGTATTTCCTTCCAACAGACGGATGGCAATTTGCAGTCGGAGACATCTGACAGTGGATTAAACATCATGTCAGAAGTGCGTTTTCTTTGATAATTTAGTAATTTGATGAAGAATTTATAAGTCTTGGAGTTGATTGTACTTTCTCGTTCTACCAGCCTCTTGCAACAGAACCTGAAATCCCAAAAACGGAATTGGAAGATAGGGTTACTTTGGAAGTTTCCGATGAAAGGTCAAAACTTGAGGAAAAAGTTAAGGTACGCCATTTTATTGCCCACTTTTTAAATTGGCCTTGTTGAAAACTTAATTTATAATTTTATTATGAAACATGGTGATTTACACGTTTGTCTATGTTTAAGTAGAATACTTGACTTAATCGCCTGTTTGCCACTAAAAATGTTATTGAAATGAGACATTTGTAAATTGAATGGCTCTTAATTACTTTTCTGCAGTTTCTTAGACCTCTTCGAGTCCCATTATAGAACCTGTGGCACTGAGTTTTGCTCAACAGTTCTTTGCGTTGATCTGAGCAGATAGTTCTCAAACAATGATTTAGCCCCCTTTCACATGCGCAAGTGGTTTCCGGTAATTGGGGGCATTCTTGAGCGTTTAGTTATTTGTTTTTAAGTATTTGCGCATTTATTTAACAAAAGTTCTTATTTTTATGGGCATTACAGTACAAATCGGTTTGACCCATCCGTTGTAGAAGTCAGTCGTTAGAATTCTATTCTCTTATATCCAAAGTCAAATTAAGTGCATAAAAGTACTGTTGAGACGTGGGATAAACAATTTTAAGAATCGGTGGATTCCGAGGGGGGGGGGGGTTTGTTTTCTTTGGAAGAATTTTTATTCTTGCTTTCTTTATGCGTTGGTTTCTTAGTGTATTGGCTACGAGAAGCATGAAATGATTTAAGTATCATCAACTAGTACAGCTTTTTCTCGTCTAATTATCTTGCCATTGCTTATTGAACCTATTTGGATGTTCTGGTTTCGCGTTGTTTGTAATTTAAACCCGTTGCCACTGATGTAGGAAATAGCTCAAACGACACCTCATCCTTTTCCAAGAGTGGAACTTGGATATGTGGGACAGATTGGCTATCTGGTTAGCCAGTAGTGTAGCAAAATGGGGACATAATGCTTGATTTCTGTTATCGAAATATCATATGTTCCAAGTATTAAAAATAAATAATTCTGTCTCATCGGTATTTTTCTCATTTTGTGCACTTTCGCAAGCTGATTTGAATTTTTTAGTGGTAAACTTGAAAGTGCTCTCGGTGTCTGTAGTTATTTGGAAGAGTAAGTATTCAGAGCTGAATTGTTTGTTTTCTTTTCTGGTGTCTTCCCTCCTAATCTTGTTTCATTACTTTGCAGTATAGATTTTGGAGATTATATTAATTTGTTTTTACGGATTTTTCAGAAGTACCTAAACGCGTATTTTACTGTTTTAAAAAGATTTTTTCTCAAAAATGTATTTCTTTTCCTGTGGTTTGTTTGCCCTACGCAATAATTTGTTTTGCAATTTCGCTTTATATTTTCCAAGTAAACCTATTTACTGCATAAGCAGAGGTTATTTTCCAAATTAGATTGGCGATTTTTAAAAAGTGCGCTCACTATTTCCTTCAATCCAATTTTCAAAAATGTATTTGACCACTTTATACCGTTAATCATTTCATAAAATCTTATTCATGGAGCTTTAAATATGCTAAGGTTTGATTTTAGCGTGATCATTCTTTTTGGCTGCTTTCGCATAACCTGAATTGCAAGAACTTGTGCCATGAAAATCGGATTGGAAAGGTAATATTTTTAAGCGATAAGATGCCCAATTTACGCTGTTTTGGCTCGCTTTTCATCGTCCCTTAAAATCTTAGGTTTTAATTGCTGCTCGAAGAGTTGGGTTATCACTCCAGCTTTCCCATCATCTGATTCCGATTTAAAGCAATTGAATACGAAACAATCATTATACCTACCTAGCACGTGTTCATTGCTTAGAGTGCACTGAAGTTCAACTCGATATTTATTGTTTGTTGAATTTTATTTTAATTTATGTTATGAAGTGATTTATCTCCCCTAAGATATGGTCAGCAAATCTACACTTTTGCACCTTTGTTTTAGATTTTCTGGCTTTCGTCTTAATTCTTGCTGATTTTGATTCAGAGATGGTGATTCGCAAGACGTGGTCATTAAATTAGCCTCTTTAGACAGGGAAAGGGGATCAGTATTTCTCGAATTAGTCTTTAGAGTTGCTGAGTATTTCCTAAAAAGTGTTTTTAATTGCCTATCACTGGTTTGATTCCTTAGATTCTGTAACCGATTACATTGAGCAACAAGACGAAATCCTTTTTAAGAATGAGTAAATGTTTGGAGAATTATGCGTTACCTTAAATATTTTTCTTATCTGCGATTTTCCTATACTATTGTCGATCTAACAGTTTCAGAATGATTCTATTGGAGGTCTAAATGTAATTTACAAGATTATCTACAATGAGTTATAAAGCTTTTTAAATATTGTGCTTTGATATGTTTTTTATTAAAATAGCACTGTGATTGTACCGAATTTGGTCTAGTTCGTGTGGTATTATGCTATTTCAGTTGCCTTTTGTTCTCTTTCTATTTATTCCCCTTTAAACCGGTTCCTTTGGAAAATTATCTTAGATATTACCGTTTATATATGAACATTTTTATGTTCAGTTGAGACCTATCCCTAGTATTCGTATCCATCATAATTAAATATTTCTTATATTTAGTGAAATTTTTTCTTTATTCAGTTTATTCACTCAATACTTAATCCCCCCCCCCCTCTTCCCCGCTAGCACTCTTTTTCGATTAATTTCGAATTCAGCACAGCTTGGAAGTGACTTGTTTTGGTAGAGCGCAGCGAAGGAAGATTGAAATTTTGGCTCACTTTCAGTGCAATATTTGTTAATTTTCTAGATTTCACGTAAGTTTCACTTGGTTTTTTATTTAGCTTGGAGCTGAATCACTACCTGAAAATTCATTATTTTAGGATATTTTAAATAACGCTTTATTTTCAAGGGGCTAATATATCATTCATTTTTTCCCATTTTTGGACACCTTTAAATTTGCCCTCTGTTGTTTGATGTTTAGGCTATTTAGGAGGTTGGTTGCTCACTAAAATGGCGCAGAGTTTTGATTCTTTATTATAATTACCCTAATAGATAAATTTTGGTCATTTTTTAAAAAAATTGGTCGTTAAAGTATATTTACGATCTCCTTATCTGTATTTTTCTTATCTAATGAGCAAATTTTTTTTCAAAAGCAATTTACTGGTAAACTTAATGCCGAATTTTATATTACCGACAAGGTAATTTAAAATTATTTGCCTAGCTTCCTTGATTATAATTTACCCTTTGCCTTAACCCGTTACGTATCCATTTCGTTATCTGAACAGAACTTTGAATCAATCAAATTCGGCCAATTTCGAGAGGTACTTGGCTATTTATAATCTTTGTTCTTGCTGTTTTGTTCAAAATTCCGAAATGTTTGTTTATTTTTTTTGATTAATTGAATTTTGGTTCCTTAAATCGATCGATTCCGAAAAAAACGTACATTGCTATTTTGCGTACCCTACTTGCTTGCAGTACTTCTTTACTTCCTCTGGACAATTTCTTTTGGAAAATTTATGTAGACATTGCCACTCATGAAGTTCTATTCGAAGTTCAAATCAGCTGAAACGTATGAGGTTAATTGCTCATTTGTTTCTCAAACACACACACACACACACCCTTTGTTACATTGGTTAAATAAATGTTATTTTTTCAATTTCACTTCACGTTCAGCCATCTGTACACGAACGTGCAATAGCTAGAGGGGTAAAACTATTCGTTTTGTGCTACGCTTTTGCTGTAAACTTTTGATCGTTGTTCTTTCATCTCTTACTTGATATTTCCGTTCCATGTTTGAGGCAGAATTTACTAACTGGACTTCCCTTGGAGTCAATTGAAGCGGAGTTACTCAAGGTGTTTTTTACGAGATCCAAACAAATATGTGGAACTCGAAACCATCAATTTATTGCACTTTCTCTATTTACAGGATCCTTGCACCAATAGTTTAGACACATTTGAAGCGTTTGTTGAGGTGAACCCCCTCGTTTTTGTTGCCATATTATCCCAATTCGTTCAGTCACCCATGTTTTGTTTTTTTTATTTTTCACCGGCATTTGATATAATTCAACCATTTCCCCGTTTTATATAGAAAATATCGCAAATTGGCATTTGCGAACAGAGCAAAGAAACCGAAGCACCTAACCCGGTAACTTAATCATTTATTTCTTTTTGTTTATATGCAGTCTTACGTGTTTAGTTCTGCTTGAAATTACTATTACAGAAATGCCCAGTTAAGTTTTTTAGAGATGCAGGGTTGGTATATTAGCACTCATCAAGAGGCTAAACGCTTTGGTCAGCACTAGTTAGTAAATGCGTTCCAAAACCTTTGTTCTCATCCCTAATTAAGGTGGACTTCAATGAGTTTGCAAATGCGGGCGTGTAAAATCTGTGGCCTAAAACATTCGTATCTGAAAATCAAATGAGCCAATTTATCATAAATATGCCTAATAAAAGTCCAATCATTTGTCAATCAACTCTGAACTTCATGGACCATAGACAGCTTTAGGCAGCCGAATCCACCTCTAAAGGTTGATACATTGCTTTCTGTTTTATCATGAGTAATGATAATGAAGCAAACCACGTTATATTGTGTTGACTGATAATTGCCTGTGAATAGGTCTATCGATTTCTAGCAGTGCACGCTGATCTGTAATATTTGACTTGGCAGAAGACATCTCACCGTTTTAAAATAGAAACAAGGTCGAATTGAAGTTAGGACTAAATTGGGAGTACCACGGGACCTATTTTATTTGAATTTATTCTATCAAGCTATCATCTGAGTCCCTTTGAGGGCTCACTTCTGCGGTATTCATTGCGCATTGAACGGGTTGAGAATCAATTTTGTGGTTAGTCAAGTCATTATTAAAGCCCACATATGTCTTTAGCTTGATTTCCTACAGAGTAAGACATGATTGTTCATGTATTAGCAACGCGACGAATTAAATATTACGCAATTTTTTGTATTTTACCAAAATCGCCTCTCATACTTCACAATCTTTGCACCCATTTCATTTAATGTTTTGTTAATGCAAGTCTTCCGCTTGAATCATTCAAGGTCATTAAATGCCTGTTATCCTTGTCAATTCTGAATTTCCAGTCTCACTTCCATTTATTTTATTTTCGGTCATTAAGTTTAAGGGATTCGTAAAATAGGGTGTCTGCACAAATACGAACAC